TCGTCCTCTTCGATCATCTCACTGCCCTCCTTTCCTCGACTTGCCGGCTTCCAGATCTGAGCTGTGCCTCTGTGCAGCTGGAGGTCCCACTCTGTGCCTGCTGCCTGCAGGGGTGGTGATGTGCTTTCACCTCTCCTACTCCCACCCCACCCCCAGCTCCCTCCCAGTGCGCTCCAGGAAAAGGTGGTAAGGTTGCTGTCAGAAGGCTCCCAAACCCCTAAACAGCAAGGAATCTTGCGGAACTTGTGGTCACCGGGGCCACTTCTCCTTTGCTGCTCGAGATCATCAACTCATGGCCCCTGAGTGTTACCGGCTCTTAGCTGCCTGACCGTCCAGCAGGTTTCCCGAGGCTGTAAATCACACGGGAGGAGATTGCTCAATTTTATCCCATGAAGCTGGTGTATTCGAACTGACAGAGAGGAACAGCCTTTGGTTAACAGTTTCAGCTCCCTACATACTACTCCACCAAAGCCCTTTTGTTCCTAGAGAGGGAGAATCAAACTTCCACGACAGCGCAAGAGAGGAAGTCTCTGGATGAGATGGATTGACTCAGTGACTGTGGTAATGGGGGTAGGCGTGTCAGAGACAAGAAGGTTGGCTCAGGATAGAGCAGGGTTCAGAGCTGTTGTACATAGGGTCACTATGAGCCGTAAGCAACTCAACAGCACATAACAACAACACAACAACATAACTAAACCTCTGAAAAGCAGCCTGCCCCTGTCCCGCTCATGCACACTGAATCCTAAGACCAAATCCACCTCTGGCAAGTCCCTTGTGCGTCAGAGCGACCTGCAGCCTTTCCAAGGTGTTCGTTTTTGTAGAAGCAGCAGGCCACATCTCCCTTCCATATGGTGAGAGTTTGCTTGTGACTTCGAAACAGCCGTGCGGTATTTGGCAGCCCAGAGTTTTCAGCTCTTTGCTAGGAGGCTCCCTGCTCAACTGGATGGATGGTTCTTACAACTCCTGTGTGCACCTGCTGGTGGGAGGTCCTGTGTCCTGTTAGGCTGTTGTTGTGAGGTGCCGTGGAGTCGGCTCATCTGCTGTTCTGTGCTGTTGATTTGACTTGATTCACGTCGGCCTCATCACAACAGGGGACTCTGCAGGCCCATGTCATCCTCGCAGCCTCCGCTGTGTGTAACCCTAGCGTTGTTCTGCCCACGAAGGGGCTACCTCTCTTCCTCTGAACCTCTGCGTCTCCAAGCATGAAGTCCTTCTGTGGGGACTAGCCCCTCCTGACAACATGCCCGAAATATATGAGAAGAGGTCCCACCATCCTCGGGTCTAGGGAGCCCCATGGCGATCCTCCTAGAGCAGAAGGAAGCGATCCAGTCCTGCCCTGTTCTCAGATTGGCTTTGCTGGTGGGTCCATGCATTTCTGTAATTCTTTATTGCCATCTAGTGGTTAGATGCACCAAGGCTGTGGCAGTTAACGTTTGTTTATTTATTAGAAATTTTTATTTTTTTTATACCCATTTTTTAAATTAATTTTCATAAACGTTTACAGAGGCTTTAGATTTCCATTCATTCGTTGTTGCATTTTACTCCCTGCCCACTCTTGCCCCCCCCCACCCAGTTCGCTCTTTGAAAAGTAAAAGAAAAATTCTTTCATTGGTATACAATCCTTCCCCCAACCTCCGAGTCCACTCCACTGTGCAGCCTTCATTCTGGACTCTGGTCATGAGCATGATATCCAATTAAAAAAAAGAATAGACTTTATTTTGTACTGTGGCATCTACTTCCTAAACAATGTGCCTCCGGAAACTCTGTGAACTTTGAGAAATGATGATAGTTCTAGAAAAGCTTCAGGCCTTTTGTTTATAGGGTTGCTATGAGACTCGACGGCAATCAACAACAACAACAACAACAA